GATTTCTAGTCCCGCCTTAGGCATCCCAACCCACCTCACAGGGTTGTTGTTGTGGGGAGAATGGAGGAGGAAGGCATGTTGGATATGTTTGTCGCATTTGGGTTACTTGTAAAAATAATAAAGGCGGGATGTGGATAAATAAATAAATAAAATCAGCCCAGGTTGAACCAAATTCCCAGCCTCGGTGCTCCTGCTGTTTTCCCATCCAAATATTAGCCAGGTCCAACCCTTCTTAGCTTGAGTGTATCAGCGTATCCAAGAACGACAGGACAACAAAACTCCAACTTCTTTCCCCCATTAAAAATGAGAACTGAAAGATTCTGGGTTCTACCCAAAGTTTCCTCCCCTCCAGCTATGCTCGCTCACCACAACAAAGCTAAGATTAATGCAGGCCTGTTAATTCACCGCATCAAACACGATGCTGTTTTTTGAAGAAAAAAATATTGAAATATACCCTTTTTTAAAGCGGAAAAATTCAGTGAAAGGGATGCTGACATACCTCTGCTCCACCCCAATCAGCTGGGACTTGGGAGGCAGAGAATAGATGGGGGCGGGGCCAGTCAGAGGTGGGATTTGCCAATTTTCCGAACTACTCAAAATTTCTACTACCGATTCTCCAGAACTGGTCAGAACCTGCTGAATACACACCTCTGGTCGTAAGTGTGAAAAATGGTCATACGTTCACTTTTTTTCGGGGTCGCTACAACTTTGAACAGTCACTAAATGAACTGCGGTAAGCGGTTAGATCTGAGCGCAGAGTCCCCTGATTCAGGCCATGCTCTCAATCTCTGCACCCAAAAGGAGATATAAATTGGTTCCCCGCCCCTGTTTTATGCAAACTGGAAAACTTGTTAACATCTTACCACCACCCCGTAAAAAAGCCACCCAAAACTGGTGCATTCTAGCCGCTAGCAACAAACAAATAAACCGTTTATGTGTCCAAGGAATTGGAAAGCTTTACTGCAGTTTCAGATGGCTAATTATTAATGTGGGCTAGAAACATGCTTGAATGCATTTGACCAGCGAAGCTGTTTCAAATGTGTTTTTAAAAGCCAGAGTTTATTTAGAGTGGCCTAAAACTGAGTCACTGCCTGTTTTTCTCCCCCTGCATGTTCAGTGGAAGGGATTTCGCCTCCATTAAGGTGAATAACATATCTGACATACTTTACGGCAACTGCTGGTTTGCCTTTTGTTTATTAAATGTCAATTCGGAGCACCCACTCTGGTGTCAAGAGCTGAGTGCGGTTGACTAAATTCCTGAGCTACCTGAGCAAACACACACTCTTTGCAGGGATAACCTGCCAATCTCCTAAAACAAACCTGAGATTTTCTTTTCAAGACAAACAGCTTTTTTTTGGCCTCTGTGTGCAAATTGAGAGAGAGACAGACAGGCAGACAGACAGAGGGAGGGAGACAGAGAGAGAGAGACAGAGAGAGAGAGACAGAGAGAGAGACACACACACACACAGAGACAGAAAGAGAGACAGAGAGACAGTGAGAAGGAGACAGGGAGAGACACAGAGAGAGAGAAAGAGAGAGACAGAGAGAGAGAGAGACAGAAAGAGAGACAGAGAGACAATGAGAAGGAGACAGGGAGAGACACAGAGAGAGACAGAGAGAGAAAGAGAGAGACAGACAGAGAGACAGAGACAGAGAGAGGGAGACAGAGAGACACAGACAGAGAGAAAGAGAGACACAGACAGAGAGACAGAGACAGAGAGACACAGAGAGAGA